CTCAATCTATCAAAAGAAGCTTCTGAGTTACTTGCTTCCAGATTGAAGGACAAAATTTTACTGGAACAAGGAACCAAAATTACTTTCTACCGTACACGAGAAAAGGATCTGCTACCCTTCTTCTCTCAAGAAGAGGATCTTGTATTTTGTCACGAAATTAGAGGACTCCTAGAAAAGATGAGTCTTCCTAAATATTTTCAACATGACTGGCGTCTATTTATTGATAGCTCAAAGCGAAGTTTGAAATGTGTTCTTCTGCACAATGGAAACAAATTTGGTTCAATACCAATTGCTTACTCAACAAAAATGAAAGAAGAATATAACACCATTGCTTCAATCTTGGAAAAGCTAAAGTATCAGCAACATGAATGGGTGAATTGTGTGGATCTAAAAATGGTTAACTTTCTCCTGGGACAGCAAGCTGGTTACACTAAATATCCTTGCTTTTTTGTGTCTCTGGGATAGCAGGGACAAAACACACCACTGGACTAAAAAAGAATGGCCTAAGAGAAAAAACATGGAAGTTGGGAAAAATAATTTAATTAACAACGCCTTAGTTTAACGAGATAAAATCATTTTTCCTCCACTGCATATCAAGCTGGGCCTTATGAAGCAGTTTGTAAAGGCTCTTGATAAAAACGGATTGTGTTTTGAATATATAGGGGAGAAGATGCCACAGTTGAGTATAGAAAAAATTAAAGCAGGAGTATTTGATGGTCCGCAAATAAGACAATTTATTAATGACTTTGCCTTCGTGAATTCAATGAATGAAACTGAGCGAAAGGCTTGGACTTCATTTGTTGCAGTTGTCAGAAATTTTCTGGGCAAACGCAAAGATAAAAATTATGTTAAACTGGTTGACGACATGCTTAGCAGTTTCAAATCCCTCGGATGTAATATGAGTATTAAGGTACGCTATTTACACAGCCATTTAGATCTTTTTCCTAAAACCTTGGTTTTTTAGGGTAAAGGAGCCATCGCCCCCTCCCCCTAGCCCCCTCATTGGCGCTTCTTATTTCATCAAAATGATATATCTCAAAAATGCAAGCTGATTGGCAAAATCTAACGGTTTATTGAGTTCAGGGCATCAAACTCATATAAAATTTGCTGCAAATACCCCGGCACCAAAATAGCTGTTGGCCTGTGTAATATAATACAAAAAATAAGCTTGATGACAGCCATTTTAATTACTTTAGTAATTAAATATATTTTCGCAGAATTTAATTTACAGTATTGGACAAAGCATTTGCAACCAACATCGAACAATGCTAAAAAGTGTTCTTAATTTTACATGTTTTAAAAATGAAATTAACTATAATACCACTGCAAATAGTTCAGGAGTCTGGAGTCATAGCATGCCATGACATGAGCAATCAGCTGACAGGTGACAGCACACAGGCAGAATTTTGTTGACAAGTGCCGTTTGCAGCGAACAAAACATATGCAACTTTTTTGGTTTGTTTCATTTTTTTAAGTCTGGTCCGTGTGAACGTCACGGAAGTTTTTTAATAATTAAAGGAAGTATCCAGACGTTGGAAGTGCCACAGAGCATTATTGTATCATCACAAAGTAAATATAACACGGTAAGCCTTGAGAAACGTGATTATTTATTTTTATTATTTTTATGACTTGTGCAAAAATGGCTCCCAACAGTCTTGGATTGGAACTTAGAAAGAAAAGTATTGGCGATTACGTAAGTGGAATGTTATAAAAAAGTATTTGTGATAAATATCGCGTAAAAAAATGGACCGTATCAAGACTATGTTCCAAATATCGTTCTACGGGGAAGTTGGCAGCAGATAACAAAGGTGGAAGACCGCGTTCTACCACCTTTGTTATCTGCTGAGAGGATTCTATGATTGTCAGATCCGTCAAGAAGGATCCCTGGATATCATCATTCAAGATACAAAAGCAATTAGAACTGACTGTATTGGACCGAACAATCAGACGACGTGCTGTTGAAGCCGGATTGTTTTCTCGACACCCTGCAAAGAAGCCGCTGATTTTACTAAAACCTCATACTGAATGAAATATGCCAACAAAATGGGTTTTTCAGCAAGACAACGATCCAAAACACACTGCAAAAGTAGTCAAGCAGTGGTTTCAAGACAACCACCTATCGGTGATGGATTGGCCGCCTCAATCTCCGGATCTCAACCCTATCGAGAACCTGTGGGAGATCGTCAATCGCAGAATTAATCGCGAAGGTGTTCGTAATAAGGATCAACTGTTTGAATAAACCCAATAGACTTAGGCAGCGATTAATAAATTTGATCAGGTGATTAATAAAACTTTGTGGCAGCGCCACAAAGTTTTATTAATCACCTGATCGAATCTAAGCCTCGAAGATGCAAGGCTGTGATTGACAACAAAGGATTCGCCACGAAATATTGATAGCGAAACACAGCTTGGTCAACATTTTGTGGAGTTACACTTGTTTTGTCCGGAAAGAAATCAATTTTTTTGTATATTTGTGATGAATTTATTAATTTTCGTGGAACTTTGTGATGAATAAAACTTAAAGAACGTTGCCTCTAAACAGTTACGTAGTTATTTCTCTAATTTGAAAAAATGCAGCACTTTTATAAAAAGAAACTAAAATAGCATTATTTAGTTGCACTTGTTTTGCCCGATACTGTATATCCTGTAACAAGTTCAGAATATTAGAATGGGTTTTGTTTGCGATTTTCAAAACACGGTAAGACGACAATCCCAAAGCTTGACAAATTTCTTTAACTTCTTTTTTCTCTATCAAGTCATGTATCATTTTCAATAAATCAGATGTTAAAATAGTTCTTTTTTTTATCGGAAAATGAAGAAATAAACTTAACTAAACCAGAAAATAGATGCAAAGTAATAAAATGAAAGAAATTTTAAAGTAGTATATCAAAAAAGTAAAAAGTTCATCTTCAAAGATTTATCTATCAATCGTTTTTTAAAGAAAATTTGTGGAGGAGCGGGGTTTCGAACCCCGGGCCTCTCGCATGCAAAGCGAGCGCTCTACCACTGAGCTACACCCCCATATCAAATTGTGAGCAATAGTATTATAAAAATAGTATTATAAAAATAGTATTATAAAAATAGTATTATAAAAATAGTATTAAAAAAATAGTATTATAAAAACAGGTATAATTTGTAATTCCAAGAATTGCTAAAGAATGTTTACCAACTTATTACTCAAAATTAATTATTGGTATAAACAAATGTAAACGAATGCGCAGCCAACAAAAACTTGTAATGGACAAAAAAATATAGAAATTAAATAATTTTTTTTATTAATGTTAGCTAGCATTTGGCAGCAAACATACTATTGAACTCTTAACCATAGTCGGCGCGAGGAGGGAGGAGGGGTAAGGGGCCATCCATAAAGGACGTCATCTAAATAGGGGGGGGGGGGAATGGTCGAGTTAAAAAGGGCAAAAAAGGACAAGGGGAGGGGGGAGGTTGTCAGAAATGGACGTCACTTTATAGATTTTTTATTTTAGATTAATTAACATGGAAAACTACGTAAACATGTGTTTTTAAGAAGATAATGTATGAGAATATTTTTAATTTTATTTTTCAAAGGTGTAGCAGTAGATTCAAACATCATTGCGAGATGAATTAAAATTTTTTTTTTAAGTTAAAAATAGGGGGGTGGGGGTTCAGGATTTTATGACGTCCTTTTCAAGGGGGTATATAGAAAAAAGACAACCGGTGACAAAGGGGGGGAGGGGGTCAAAATTGGCCAAAAAATGGTGACGTCTTTTATGGATGGCCCCTAAGGGGTGTGACACCCCCCATCAATGATTTTTTCGTTCATTAATGAACGAAAAAATCATTGATGGGGGTGTCACACCCCTTACCCCTCCTCCCTCCTGTGTGTCTGGGGGTGCCATTTTTAAGTAAAATAAGAATGGGGATGCCATTCTTATTTAACTTGAAGTAGTTAAATAAGAATTAAACGTTACACACACACGCACGTTACTCCTACTCGCGCCGGCCCTACTCTTAACGTTTAATTCTTATTTAACTACTTCAACTAATATATGAATAAAATGTGGAATTAAGTGATTAGGCTTGTGACACGTCATATATTGATTATATTTATTGTTTGACGACGAAATAAATGTTATATAAGAAAAAAAACAACAACTTCACTTTACTCAACTTTTTTCAAATTTCTTAGTTTCGATAATTTCTAAATCGGCAATGAGGAATTTATTAAAGAAACGTTTTTTTAAATGAAAAAAAAAATGTAATTTTTATTTTTGGTATTAAATACCAAAAATATGTTTAAAAAAAAAAAAAAGATTTCTTAACGAGTTTTAAAGAAATTATTGTAACTAAGTAATTTGCACAAAGTGGAGTTAAGTCCTTTGTCTTAAGACACGCTCGTACATGGATTGTATTTGTCATTAGTCGGCGAAATATTTGTTATAAAAAAAACTTTATTTAATTTGTTTTACAAAGATCGATACAATCTGGATTGGTGTAAGTTTTCCTTGTTAAGAAACTAATAGCCACAGTTTTTCAAACGATTTTTTTATGGCAAAAGACGTGAAACTAAACTAAACCCTTTGAGAATCGATAGTCCGTCCATCGAACGTCCATCGAATCTAATTTGAATCGATTTGACGTTCCTAATATTGGACGTCCACTCGACGTCCGTCGGGCATTTTAGGAAGTCAAATACCCAATTGGAATGTGAAGATTCTTTATAAGTTAATGTTCTCCCTGATATAAAACAGTTTTTTAAAGTTAGCTTCATATTTAAGTATGAATCAATTACACAGTTATTTGAAAATTTTTAATTATACATTTTTAAAATAATAATTCATTTGAGGCTAAATATTACTTGCAATGTAGTTTTTTAAAAAATGTAAAAAAGTGTTATTAATGTTACGCATGATTGGGCAACAATATTTGAAGTTTCAAACTTATCAAACTTTAAAACGTTTTTATTGGTTTATTTTGATCACCTGATTATATTTGCTAAAATATCGTTTTATGAAGTTTGTTTATTAGTTGTACAAATTAAATTTGCTCTTTCAAATATGATTTTGAAAGAAGTATGATTTTGTCGTATTTAGCAAACTTCTTTTTGTTGTTGACCTCATTTTTAAAAGTTAATTGTAACTACGTCTCTCCTCTAGTTAATACAGTTGCTCAAAACAAAAGTTTAGCAATCACGCAAACGCCATATTATGAAGAAAATACTCAGGGTTATGCTCAGCAGCAAACAAACTATAATGGCGGATTAATTTCTTATGAAGGAAATTGGGTCCCATCAAATCAAATTACTTTTCCTAATGCTATTCAAGCATTAGCTCCGCCAAATAATTATTTGTATTTTCCAGCATTTTCTGCAAACTTAAACATTCACAATCGTGTAAACCGTTTTTCAGCTGATAATTACCAACTTACCAAAAACCCAAAATGGTATCCCCCTAAACCTTATTATTTTAATGACAAACTATGTCAGGAGCGTAAACATCGTATGGACTGGCTAAGCATGCTTGAACCATGCAAATCTAAAATGGATTTTGGTATGCATATATATTCGTATTTAAAAACTGAAGTTAATTATAGTTATATTAGTGATTTACATCTGCGAAATACTGGAGATTATAGTAGTTTTCGAATAAAAACTTACGATACAACTCGCAAACCAAAAACTATTGGTGGTGATACTTGGAGAGTTTTTATTAGAGGTCCAGTTTACATTGAACCATATGTATACGATCTAAATAATGGGGAATACGAAGTACTTTTTTTTACATTAGATGCCGGAATGTATCAAATAGAGGTTATTTTAGAAGGCAGTTTATGTTCGTCATATGTAAATCCACCATACGATTGGTTTAAAAAAGGTACGTTATAAGTCATTTTAGTTGTTTTCAAAAATCATTTTATTCAGAATAATATTATAAGTAAAGTAAAGTCCTTAGCAAGTACCACCAGGATTTTGATTAAATATCTTGAAACTGTTTTTTAATTTTTATGGAGTAATATCATTTTTGTGTACTAGTGAACCGGGCTTCAAACCTAATTCAATTACCTGTTGTTTTAGGTGATTTCAACGGACATTTTCAAAACGAATACATGTTTAAAGAATATAAACATTTTCCATTTCTTTTAACTTACAGAACTTGGAATGCGTTGTCAAATTTTAGTGTATACGTGCATGAAGGGTCAAAGTCGAGAATCACAAGTAAATTTTATTTTTTATTAGGCAACTCCTTTAAAATTAAAATTTGAAAAAAAAAGGAAATTTTTAAAAACTAACTTTAGTTTTTGCTTGTTGTTATTGTTGTGAATGGGTTGTAATTGTAAAAACTAAGCTGGAAAGTTGTCAATTAAAAATTCAAATTTAAATTTAAAATAAAAATTAAAAGTTTGAAATGTGTCAAGTCACATACACACATTTCTCTCTCTCTCTCTCTCTCTCTCTCTATATATATATATATATATATATATATATATATATATATATATATATATATATATATATATATATATATATATATATATATATATATATATATATATATATATATATATATATATATATATATGTATTTTAAAAAAACTGAGCAATTATAAATTAGTAGAAAATCACTTAACAAAATTTTTTTTCATTTTACACTGTGTTTCATCAATATGGACTCATCAGAAATGCATTTCTGATGAGTCTTTGTTGATGAAACACAGTGTAAAATGAAAAAAAGTTTTGTTAAGTGATTTTCTACTAATTTATAATTGCTCAGCTCTTTTAAACATTGAGCACTCTATTTTGTAGAATACATTTTTTTTTAAATTGTTTAAATATATATATATATATATATATATATATATATATATATATATATATATATATATATATATATATATATATATATATATATATATATATAATATATAGACGTCTTTTAAACGTCTTGTTTTATTTGCAAGTAATATTTTATTTGTCCTATCTAGATTTTTTTTTTTTTTTTGTTTATATTGTTCAAAGAATAATTGATATATTTTGGTATTCAGAGAACTTAATCAAAATGCAAAACTGGCAATTATTATGTAATGTAAAATGTAACTTTTTAACTGATGGGTTTGGTAGATGGAAAAATAAAACGTGGCTTCCTTACGTCCAAAGTAAGACACACACTAGTATCCAATCTTCAAATAAACTGGGTGAATGATATTTTTTAAATTTCTATTGTTTTTCTTTTTTTACTTTATTGTTTATAAATATCAAAATAGATAAACCAATATGTAGGAACCTATGTAAATAGGTTATCAACTCGGCATAAACTGAGACGAAAACAAGGACTGTTATGGATTTACGGTGATTGCTATGCTTACAACTTTTACCAAAGCGTTTGGAATACATCTTTGTGTACGCAGCAATTTAAAGAGTGTAATAGGTATTTTTTTACCTTTACACTTATTTTACCATTAATTTATGTTTGGTTGGAGGTAAACCTAATCTTAAAAGAATCGCAGTTAGGTTAAACTTTATGTATATAAATGTATAAACATATACATATACATTTGTACAAATATATACATTATATATATATATATATATATATATATATATATATATATATATATATATATATATATATATATATATATATATATATATAATAGTGTAATTTTAATTTAGTTTTTATAATAGTAATAAAACAAATTCTTAAGAATTTTACAACTATTTTTTTAAAGAACATATAATTGGATTTATCCTCGATGGAACCCTGATAATAAAAAAGACAAATCAATACACTTGAAACACGATTATTTTATTAACTTACCTTGGTTAGTGAAATACTTTGCAAAGTTACTTAATAAAGATAAACTAAAAAGGAGTGACAGCGGGATGCTTTTAAATGTAGGTTTGCATTATATTCGTTCAACGTCTTTTGACATTTACAAACAGCTTATAGATGGTTACATTAAAGCAATTAAAAGTCACCCGACTGACGTTGTATGGCGGACGACAACTGCAATTTACAGAGCGGAAAAATATACTCACAAAAGATTTCAAACCAATCAGGTAACATTTACATTTATTTATTTTTTAACATAACATTTATTTATTTTTTATTTAGAAAAAAAAATTTACATGAAAAAAATTTACACATTTTTGTATAAAAGATTTCATAGAAAGATATTTTACTATTTCACTATTTAAACAGTTATATTTTAAACAGTATAAAAATAGAAGATGTTATATGAGTTATATTTTTTAACTAAATTTTTAGTTGTTTTGATTATTTGAGCTTTTTTTTTTTGCATGATAAACTTGTTCAGATTAGTGGTGGATTAAGACTTCTTGGGGCCCGGGGCTATTTTTGTTTTTGGAGGCCTTTTTATGGGCCAGAACCTAAAAATGACTAAAAAAATAAAAAAGGTCCTCTAAAATTTTTGGAGGCCCCTAAATTTGAGGGGCCCGGGGCTATAGCCCGCTAGCCCCCCTTGATCCGGCACTGGTTCAGATTGTACTTTTATTAGGGCTTAATGTTGTACAAAATAAGTTATTGAATTGTTGTTATTTCAAAAAACAACAATTCAATAACTTATTGCTTTCAGGTAAAGTTTGCTCATAGCAAATCCATTTTTATTTCAGTAAATACAAAGTAATATAACATACAAATTCATATGGTATAAACTGGTGTATACTTAAGATCTCATTTGCTTCTAAAGCACACAAAATTATATATAAACTTTTGCAATTTTATAAAAATGGCTAATATTAAAGTAATAAAAAGCTAATATGGCGCAAATATTGGCTTATCAATTTTATGGTGCAATTGGGATTTCAACCTAGAATGACCCTCAAATCTTATTTTGTTGCTCTTTTTATTAAAAAAACGCTGTCAAGTTCTGAAAAAAATACATAATTTCCACGCACACAAATAACTCAAACATTTTGTATTTTACATTACACTTTAAAGGACTGCTATTATAAAAATGAGTCCTTAAGGTTTTATGTAATATAGGTTGTGTTAAATACTTAAAGGATATCTTTATCCTATTTATGACTCTTAGCACTTTGTTGGGTTTTTGAAAATTCTCTTTTCTATTACAAATACTCTTTCTATTACAAATACTCTTTCTATTACAAATACTCTTGAATTAAAAAAGTTTCATTTTACAGTGATTTGCTTGTCTATTTTACAGACCGGATAATTTTAATGTATTTATATACATAAAAATAAAATTAGTTTTTCATCTTGAGCAATAGATACTTATTATTATTACTTTTTTTTTTCAGCGTGCACTACTTTTCAATGCTTACTCAATGTCAGCTATGTGCCGTGCAGGAATAGCCGTAGTTGACGTGTTTCCATTGACATCAGCAATAGAAGTAAAACCTACTGATGGAATTCATTATGACGTTACAGTCTTTACTTCGTTGACAAAAATTCTGCAAGAATATTATAAATATATATAGAAAAAAATGTAAGTACTTGTAATAAAATTGTTCCTGAAAATGTCTATTTAATGGTTAAGTAAACTTTATAGTAGCTTGAACAACTTGATGCAATTCACGTTAATAAATTAGGATTAATAAATCTATAAATCATTGTTATTTTTTTTTTTTTGCAGTAATTGTTTTAGTTAGATGGTACGTTGTTACGTTTTGTCAGCATATTACTGTTTGTAACTTTCCTGTCCGTGCATAATAGGGTAACTTTATCGAACCTCGCCCACATCCGCACTGAAATTGATGTTGACAGGCTATTACTAGACTTGCACTGCTGAACTATACATCATTAAATAGCTTATTCCTTCAGCTACAAAACTGTAAAATTATTTAGTTTTTATGAGAATATTTGGCAATACCATTATAAATTGTACAGTGTGTCAAAACCACTGATTTTCGCCCACTTGAACTCAATCTCGCCATGTTGATTTAAAGTCGCCCACTGTGTAAATTAAAAAAGAACTTATACTTGCGTCGGGTAACGTTATATACAGGTGAGTGAGATTAAATCTCGTTAGTTAATTTCTATTCTCAATTACACCATTTTAATTAGAAAATTTCAAAACCATGGGGTTTTTGTGAATGCAAACTTTCTCCCTAGATTCTAACTTGAATCTGGATTCTGAGATCAATCTCAATTGTAATTGTAAAATGTGTTAATAAAGTATAGTTTCAACACATCAATGCTTACGAGCCGTAGTGATATGACAAATATTGTCTTCTTTTTGCCCGAGTCATGAGTTTAATTTTTACATTGAGCAGCCGTGGCGTAGTGATTAGAGCATGGTATTCATTTTATAAGTGTTGCAAGTTCGAATCCTACTCGAAGCACTTATACGTTATCGGTAAAGCTCGAAATGGGGAATCAACTCATTGAATGGTTAAGCCCTTGTGGCGGTGCTTAGTGATAAGACCATTAGATCTTATCACAAATAAGACCATTAGATTATTTTTAAATAAAAATAATAAAAAAGTTTATATAGATAAGACAAAATTGTATGCATTTTTAGTTGTATAAAAATATATTGTCAAATATTTAGTTCATATTAGTCAGTATTGTTCTCGGCATCAACCAATGAATGCAATTCAGATGATAATGAAATGAACTTCTTTTTTGTTGTTTCTATAGACTTGTTGGCAGGATTTTCTAATTTTTTTTTCTTAGCCAATACCTTTTTTCTTCTTTTTCTTTGAGTCGCTCAGCAGCATTAACAAAACGCAGTTGTTTTCTTTCGCATTTTTCTCTTTCCTGTTGGATTTTTTCTTTGTGATATTTCAGCTTTGCTGAGTTTGCTTCTTGAGAAGTTAAAACAAATTATTTAAGCTGACTTTTTCTGTTTGCTATCTTTTTCCGTGCGGTGGCCTTAGGATATGCCAAGACATCATCATCTCCACCACTTGAATTGATAAAAACATATATATTCAATAAAAGAACAAATATTTAAATAATTTTAAAAAATTTGAGTTGATTTAAAATCAAAAATTTATTAAAAGTTGCATTGTTGCTATGCAACTATTGATCATTTGATCAAATGAAATGAAAAAAAAACTGTAAAATGATTGACTTACCAGGGTAGGAAGAGTTTGCAAACGGAAAATCTGAAACTATAGTAGAATTAAAGTTTGATGATTCTAAAATTTCTTTTTTTTTTTTTTGCTTAGTAAGATTGGTAAAACTATTCACAATGCAGTCAACATTTTTTTCTTTAACTAGATTGACTAAATATGCAAGCTGATTATTACGAAAAACAGCCTCTGCTTTCAAAGAAAGCAGAGGCTGAACTTTAGAAGCATCAACGTCTGAAAAATTAATTTCTTGAACAAATAAATATTAGAATTTCTAAGAAAATAATAAATAATACTATTGAAATGCAAGTTAGTAAACTTTATGCTCCATTTAGAATTTTTATCAATTTGTACATAAAATATTAGTCACAGTTGCTAGCTAAAATTTTAATAATAATTTTTATTGAATAGTAGTATTAGCAAAAACACGATAGTACAATACTAACCAAAGAACAATTGTTTTCAGTTGTATTAACTGATATATCCTCATCTATGTGTAGATAGTTTGGCGAATATGCATCACTAGGAATAGCCTCAGGATTAAATCGATAACGACTTGAACCTAGATGTAATGTTGCTAAAAGTCATTGGTTTTTCCCAAGCTGAAGAAAATATCCCTGCAAAATTTGAACGACAAGTAATAATTTCTGGAAACTGACCCATCAGATATTGTGCTATAATCAATCAATCAATTATATATTTTGGAAAAAAGATCTAACTTCCACGGTCGTTACAAATAGTTATAAAAACTAATATAAAGTAAAAACCTCTTTGATATAAAACATATTATAGACACATAGTCATAGTTATAATAAAAATAGCAATAAATTAACAAAACAACAATAATAAAAATAATTAATTGTATAATAATAAGATTAACAATAATAATAGTACCAGTAAGTATAATTAACACTTAATAATAATGAATAAAATAAAAGCATGATAATAATAAATGCATTACATATATAACGGAATTGTTAAATAAATATTTAATAGAAGGCTGTTCATTAAATACGTCAACAAAAATTATAAAAACCAGTAACTAAAACAATTAAATCAATACAATCTTCCATGCAACAATCAATTATATATACATAGTAACAGTTACAAACAGTAATAAACTGACAAAACGTGACTAATAACGATGACATAAAAACGATTATTGATAAAAGAATACAAAGACTCGATAAATATAATAATTATAGTTTTTATAATATAAATATATTGTAAGTATAATAAACAAATAAAGAAAATATAAACAGAAAAACACTTATTATACATAAAATATTATAGACTAATAAAAGTCAAAAATGCATTAAATGCATACACAAAAATACATGACATATAAATATAACTTTAAAAATACACATCAATGTAAACAATGTATTCACTAAACAAAATTTAAAAGTTTTTTCTTGTTCTTTTCTTTTAATGACATTATTTTTCTGGTAGACTAACGTAATTCATTTCGAATTTTTTTTTTTCTTTTTTTTACTTTACATTTTCGAACTATTTTTTTTTTTTACCGAATCTTTTTTTTCTATTTGGTATGTTATTTTGACTTGCTTTTTATCTTTATTTGTTTATATCTTTCGATCTTGTTTTTACTTCATTTTGTTTTATAATTAGATATTTTTTAAAATGGTATTTTGATTTTTTTTTTATCCATTTTATTTCTTTCCTTTTTTACCGTTAAATAAAAACATCCTCCATTTGCGATGTCATTGCAAAGGGTTGTGATATATATAGAGCGATAATATTCCCTCAGTGGCTTGCATTAGGTGCGGTCGCATGGTTGAAGCCAGTTTGATGTGTGTGAAGACATTTCAACTACATGTATCTGGTTATGGATAGCAATATCAATTAGCTCAATAAAGTTGTGAGAATCGTGCCCATCCAGGATCAATAACTGAGGACGTTGTGGACCGTTGTGTTTTCTAAAAATGTCTTGGTAAACCATAGTTTTGCTAGGCCCTGTTTAGTCCAGCCTCTATCGGACCAGCTCCAATTTGTTCCGGAGGCGCGAACTCAGTGTTAAAACCCCATAAAGACCTGGATATCTTTTTTCTTCACTATAACGTGGGGTGGAATGAACTTGCCCTGTGCGTTCGCACATGCAATAACAGTGATTGACTCTTGCTTTCCACTTCCTGGCTTTGCTCCAATAACAACTTTTCCAGAAAGTCTGACTTTCAGTATTGTACGTGGCACATTGTACAATATTGCTGCCTTACGCACTGAAAATAATGGCTCTGATCTGACATGCTTAATTGCACTCATCATATTTTCTTCAATCCATTTCAGGAATTTGCCCCGTTTCTTAACAGTGACTGGTTGATCAATGGAATGGTTGGAATCATTGACACGAGTTAAAGAAACATCATTTGACAAATGTTAAGACGAGTTAAAGAAACTTCATTTGACAAATGTTAAGAGTACTACTACCAGATGTTGAAAGAGCTATACCATCATGAAGATGAGTTGTATTGTAACATATTGTAGCCTCTGTTACAGAAGCAATCTTTACAACCGACATTGGTGATCATCTACATCCCCCATCTCTTGTTACAGAAGCAATCTTTACAACAAATCTTGGTGATCATCTACATCCCCCATCTCTTGTTTTAACCATGTTTTTTTTCAAGACAATACCTAGATAAATTAAATTGCAGTATGAATGTCATATTAATTTAATAAAGTGCTCCAAATTAACAAGAGCTACAAATATTAACATGTGGTTAAAACCATATGTTAGTATTTGTCCTATTCCCAACCCTAGAACTTCGCAGTACTTAATTTACAATAAAGTAAATAAGGATTTGGCTAAGTAATTACAAAATTCTATTAAAAAAGAATAAAAACATTCAAAAGAAAATGCAATAGCAGACAAAGAAAATGCAATAGCAGACAAAGTTTACTTATTTGCGATACTTTCTTTGTTTTTTATCAAGCTAATTTATTTGGTCTTGATGAACTTTTTATACAATTACTCAACCCAGAGCTATAGCAATTTATTTTTTTAATTAATTTCCTTATTAACAATACACAGAGAAAGAGTATTGTTTTAAAGGCAACCAAAAATGAATTAACATGGATATCATCAATTTTTGTCAGAGCAATTATCAAGTAAGTTTGGGGTTCATTTTTACAATAATGCCAAGGATGTTGAATTAGAGGTAACTAATTTATAAAATAATTTCCTCATCAATATAAAGAATAAAAATACATAAAAAATACTTTTTTGTAAGCATTCAAAAAGATTATGCTCTTAATATGTATCCTTACGAAATTTTATGATTTTGTTTTTCAATTATTTTTTAAATTCATCCCAATTTAATAAAAAAATAATGGGGGTCACGGCAAAACGTTTTTTTAACTGCTGGTAGCGTAAGTCTTAATATATTATGCTGCATCTATTCTCGCCCACCTGGATGAGATTAAATGCATTGGGCGGTAATATATTTATTCTGTGGACGAGATTAAGTTAATTTGGTATGTTGAGCAGAAAACAATTTTATGCATATTCTACCATTTCAAACGATTATAAATGTTATTACAATCAGAGATTAAACAGTGGAGAACAAAATTAAATTATAATTTAATATGCATAGTAAATAATTAACTCTGTAGATTTGCATCAGCTGGTTTCTATTTCGGCAAATTAAATTTAAAAAAAATTACCGAAAACCAGCAAACTTTCTTTAAGAGATACTTTTTTATTTGCAATTCTTTTAAGGTCAAAGTTTTTTTTATGTTGATAAGGCTGGTTTGCTGCTCTAAAAGAACGTCTTTTTGATGGTGCAGCATATGAGTTAACTGACATATAAGCAATTAAAGATGGTGGGCAAGATTGAGTGATGGACGAAGTTATTTAAAGTTACCCTATTCAGTTGTTGTTTTAAACTTGATATTGGTTTATTATTATATAATTTTCTTATTATTCTTATAATTGTTAAATTATCATCATTATTATTATCATCATTATTTGTATTAATAATACTATTTCAACGTGTTTACTTAAGATAAGTTTTTAACTATTTGTAAATGACCTCGATTGTGAGATCTTTTATCGAAATATATTGATTGATTAATAAAACTTTTTATGTAACTTCGTATAAAAATCTATTACCTATTTGTGGTGCCCCTCTTTCTAATTGCGTTGTTTTTAAGCAATAAAAGCACAATGGAAAAAAAAATTCGGCCACTAAACTTGCTTACTTAAATTTTGTTGCACGAGAAACCCAACGATTGCTCCAATCCACAGTTCTATATTAGATTTGGTCAACTTTAATATAAAAACAATAAATAAAAACAACTTGTCCGCAAAAACACAGATACTAAATTATCAAATCTACTAGTTAATTAACTCATTTGTGAATTGATTTGAGAACTCAATATCAGTTTTCTGCGGATGTTTTTACTTATCTTAGGGTGATTTTTTATTATAAAATTATATTACTTATTTGTGCCTTTGTAGAGTAAGCATCATTGGTGAGGAAGGAGGCGTGAACTTTCAGGTTAAATGCTATTCCGCGGAGCTCTGTTTTAAGTCCGTTAAGACCTTTTGAAGTAGCCAAATAAATAATTAAAAAAAATAATAATAAATTTGTTGAAGCTTAAAATCGGTTGCACTTTTAAAAGCAGTTACATTACAAATAATGTAAATATTTTAAATCTACTGCTCAAACATTGCAATTATTCCAAAGATTTTCTTCGTTGAGGTAATATTTATTTGTATAAAGACTATATGAACTATGATATATTGTTAAAAAAAAACTTGAACATTACAGAACTTGAAAGGAAAATTTATTTTGGTTTAAAGACAATCGAACAAAAAGAAAAGCAAATCAAATGCTATAATTCAAAAAAAAAATTTAAAAACTTGATAACTTGTGGAATCCCTCAAGGCTCTATTCTAGGGCCATTATTGTTATTACTATTCAAAAATAATCATCAAATATTTCAAATTTTATTCTATTTGCAGATGACAGTCTGCAAATAGATCTTCTCTGATAGATCCAATCTTCTCTGACTATGATTTAAAAAAACCTTTGAAAACTGTTTAAAAAAAATATTTAAGTAACAAACTTTTTTTAAACGTGAATAAAACTTATTTTAATTAATCTAATAACATCTTATTCAATATAGCTAATCTTTTTATAAATGGAATTATTATTAGAGGAAATTGTAG